GAGGTGAACAGGTGGGTCTTTAGCTTGGCTTTAAAAACTTCCACAGACCAGGCCAGCCTGATGTCTTGAGGGAGATCATTCCACAATAAAGAGGAACGAAAGAAAAAAACACGTCCTCTGATAGTTTTACGTCTGACCTTAGAGATTAGTGCCCTGAGATCGGAGAGCACGAGATGGAATATAAGGGTGGAGAAGGTCTGAAAGGTAGGGAGATGCTGGACCATGTAAGGCCTTTTAGGTGAGAAGCAGCAATTTGAAGTCTGCACGAACATGGCAGGGCAGCCAGTGAAGAGATGACAGCACTGGGGTGATGTAGGGATGTCCCGATCCAGATTGTTTTGGCTCCCGATACAATCCGATTTTTTTTAGTGATTCATCTTTACAATACTGATCCGATACCAATCCGATAGCTTTGTTTCTTTCAAAGTAACAAGGTTGGTAGTATTAAAGCTAGCCCTGCTTTTCCCACCATGAGAAACATCCAGTTTGCAGATTTTGCAAGATGCAGTTTCAGCATCATTGTTTTCCATTGAAAAGTGTTCCCACACCGTGGACTTGGTTACATACTTGTGTGCATCTTGACTTCTTAACRGCAGTTGTAAAGCATGATGATGCTGAAAACTGTCACCAAAAACTGGATCGGYYYGATCACATGACTAAATCTGATTCTACCCGATTTTCAAAAAATGGCCATATCTGCCASCGATACTGAGTATCTGATCGGGACATCCCTAGGGTGATGTGGTCATATKTCCTTGTTTTAGTTAGGATACAAGCAGCCGCATTCTGAACCATCTGCAGGTCTTAAAACTTCTCTTTGGAAGCCCAGAGAGAAGAGCATTGCAGTAATCAACACGTTATGACATAAAAGCATGGATGAGGAYCTCTGCGTTTTCAAATGAGAGTATGTGTCTAATTTTTGCAATATTCCTGAGGTGATAAAAAGCAATCTTTATTACCTCCTTTAGATGAGACTCAAAGGAGAGCGAAGGGTCAAACAGCCAAGTTCTTGACTTTTTCCCTGCATATAATGTGATGACCATCAATAATTAAGCTAAGAATTTGTAACAAGTAGTGACATTTTGAGGGTCTAATAACCACAAAATCAGTYTTATCAGCCGTTAAGAAGTAAGAAATTACTTGATAGCCAACCCCTAGTAGTAGTTAAACAGCTTGTAAGGTTAGATACATCGGTGCAGGTTCCAAGTGCAAAAGGCATATACCGCTGCAAATCATCCACATAATTTAATGTGGCCTATTATTGTTGACACAAAAGGCAGAAGATAGAGAGACAATAACATGGGGCCAAGCACAGACCCTTGTGGGATCCCATAGCCCACAGTATTTATCTCAGAGAGCTCATTTTCAAAACTAACCCTCTGTGATCTTTCAGACAGATATGATCTCAACCAGAAGAGTACGTTTCCAATTAATCCAACTGAATGTTCAAGTCTGTCCAACAAAATGCAGTCATCTACTGTGTCAAATGCAGCACTAAGGTCAAGCAACAATAATGCTGAGGGACTGTGCATGGGCCGAATACCTGTTTCAAGGTATATCGTGATATGAAAAAGTCACGGTTTCAAAACCACTAAAATTTTCTGTCATACCGTGCCTACGGTATAAGTGTTTTTGGTTTATTTTTCCTCTGGTCTGTGTAGCTGCAGACATTCCACCATGCACTCCCGCAGACTGCCTGTCGGCACTCGCAGCTCTGCTGGGGTTGTGTGGTGGCTGAAGAATGAAGTTCCCCAAACTTTTTCCCTGTCTAAAATAATAAAGCCAGCTATATGAAAATACTTAGGATGCCATAAAGATGACGGCAATGTGGACCGTGGAGGCAACATGATCGCAGCTTATCTTGAAATGAMCGAGCTAGCTTTAGCATCAGATTGTGAAACATATCACTGTGTTGCTGTCGCTCAATGCACCAATCACAGYTTGTCTGCAAAACTGTTTGASTTGTTGGATTGTGTATTTGATAAGTTTTAAGTGAAAGGTGATAAAACTGAATGYCTCCTTCAGCCGACCAGCTCGTTAGTTGAACRTGCGTTTCATAAACACGCATTCATAGTTGTGATTTCTTGTTTCTGTGTCCATATAATTATATAATCTTCATGTTTAAAACCCCTTTGTCATTTAAAACACAATAAAAACTCCCAACATGATACATTACTTTAATAAAAAGACTTGTCATGCAGTATACACTGATTTGTCTTAACAAATAAAGCAGTAGAAAATCAATTATCCAATTAGATGTAAACTTTATCAGGATAGCATAATTGCATTAAGGTAATAAAATTCATAAGTACAAATGCACACAGGTAAATAAAATTTCAGCATAACACTTCTGAGATGTAAAAACATCTTCCAAACATAAAGTTGAATATGATAATAGAAAAGTTATTTTCTTTTTTGTTTTAAAAAACAAATTTCAAAACAAAATTTTTAGAGTTGTAATCATAATACTGTCATGCCGCAAAACCGTGATATTTTTGCCCAAGGTTATCATACCGTCATAATTTCATACCGTGCCTATGAGGGACTATCAATATCGGCATTATTAAAATTAAGCAGTGTATACTGGGAATCCTGTAAATGATTTTCTTTTAAGCTGCTGTCAAAATCGAAGGGGAAGGGTTGAATGCAATGTTTGTGAGCAATTACAGACGTTGGGTTTTGCATGTTTTTCAGTCTAAGACAAGTCCCCCTCCCAAAATAAATAAATAAATAAATAAATAACCTGAACACAGTAAGATTTTTATTCCAGCTTATTTCAGTGTGCGGGAATATTCAGTCATTTTTTTTCTTCCTTAAATTCCTCCGTGAACTCCTGTAAATATGAGTCTCAGTACTTAACAAAAGACCTTCATAAAATGAAAAGTCCTTCCCAAGTTTTGAGAAGGTCAACAGAGTCCTTATTGGCCTGTAGATTTCTTTCATTCTAAAAATGTAGATAAAGTTGGTTGTGATTTTTTTTTCTTATCATTTCAGCTGACTGGGTGAGATTCTGCATTAAAAGCATTGCAGCTGGTGCAGCACTCACATTAGTGTTGACGTGTCTGTTATGTATATGTGGAGTTTGTTGCTATAAGAAACATAA